CACATCCCTCGCCGCTCCGCACAGTCTCCCTTGGCAGGCATGGGATCCAGGCCGATGGTGTGAGCTGAGCACAGCCTGCCACGTCAAGTGGGCAAAATGAGCCCAGTGGGCCCAAGGAAAACATGGTCAAAGGCACCACTGGCCACAGAGGTTTCTGGCCAGAAAAGCAACACCCCAAAGATCCCTTAACACCACTATATGATGGACATATTTTTCTAGGCATTATGATTAAGTGGTAAATCAAATAATTTTTTGTTTTATTAAAAAATAAAAAATTGGGGCTGTCTTTGAGATATTTTTGCTCAACCACATTGCATATTGTGATATACAGACATGTATCTGTATACTTGACATAATCTGTGGTATCACGTTTTCTCTGAGAGTAACTACCCAGGAGGGGAATTTCCTAGCAGCATTGTATGTATGTATTTATTTAATTAAATAATTTCAAATTGCTTTCCAAACTCGTTTGCCTCCTATCAACTGTATGAGAAGTCATGTATTTCCACTTTCTTGACATCACTTTGCATCATCTAACTTGCTACTTTTTGTCGAATTTATGGTTCCCAGTTAGATTTAGCTGTAATTATATTATCATATAATAAATCAGCTTTGTCTGTTGCATTAGTTTTCTAGGGTTGCCATCACAAATTACCGCAAACATTGTGGCTTAAAACAACAAAAATGTATTTTCTCATAGATCTATAGCATAGAAGTCTGAAATTAAGGTGTCAGCAGGCCCATTATCCCTCTGAATGCTCTAGGGAAGACTCCTTCCCCACCTCTTCCATCTTCTGAAAGTCCAGGTGTTCCTTGGTTTGTGGCAGCGCAACTCCAGTCTCTTCCTACATGTGTCTTCACTTGGTCTTTCCTCTGTGTGTGTGTCCTTTTCTGTCTTATAGACACTCTCATTGCATTTTGGGTCCACACTAATCAGTATGACCTCATTTTGGTTCTTTCCTTAATTATTTCTCCGAAACTGTTTCTAATATTCTGACATTCTCATTAGATGTGAACTTGGGGAGCCACTGTTACCCACTATGTTTCTATTTAGACTTTCTATCGATGTGATCATATATTATGTACTGTTTTGTGTTTGATTCTTTTCAATCAATGCTATTAGTTACTTTTATCATATGGGTGCATGTAGTCATTTTCAAAATCCCATTAGGTGTGAGAAGGTGAATTTTACAGCTGTAGGATTGTACATTCCTTTTCTTTGTCTTGAGTTTATAGAGCAATAAATTAGTCTTTGCATAGTTGCCCAGGGACTCTTCTCCACACACTCAGTTATATTTTATGCTGTTTTTAGATTCAGGGAGGAAGGTTATTTACAAATGTGGTGTCCAGAACCTACTGTTCCAGGTAGCATGGTGTTATGTAGAGGTGCATAGACTACAACAACAGATGGATTTCAATTTCACTTCTTTTGCTTGCTGATTATAGAAATTTGGGTAAGTTAGGAACCCCCTCCATGCCCCATGTAATTAAGATTGAGATACTCAAAGACTTTAATAATAGTCTATTTGCTTAATTTTTCATCAGACTCTTCATTTTTTATAGAAAGAACAATGGCATTTTAGGTGTAGACTGAAGAATTGATTTTGACTACTCTTTCTTTGGTAGCCTGAAACATGGTTTCTACTTTTCTCTAGATATTTCAATAATCTATCTGACCAGTTATGCTCAATGTAAAATCTCTTGAAAGAACAACTCTGAGCAAACTGTTACATTCTTGCAAATTAAGATCAGGTATTATACATTTTTATTTCCTCCTGAACTTTGGAAGAATTACCTGTACTTTCAGTGAAGTTAAAGACAGAATTTTGAATGTATGGTAGGCCATACATTTTAAACTATGAACAATTATTTTGATACTCAGACCATTTCTTGTTACTGTCTACTGTGCCACTTTCAGAAGAATTTAATTTGTAATGGTGACTTAATGGGTTGTGAGGTCCACTGGAATTCTGAACTTGGCTGATGGGTTCTAGTGGAAGGAAATCTCTCAAAGTAATGTTAAAATTTGCCTGTGAAAAAGGCTGTTTTGTGTTATGGTGAGTGAGTTAACAGCTTGACTGCCTCTTTGGAAGCTATGATATTGAAATCTGCTTTTAGTTTGTTCTTAGAGGACAGGAAAGACTCCAGCCCATTTTAGTAAATTTTCCATCTTCCTTCCTCAAGGACTAGAAATAGAAATTCCATTTGACCCAGCAATCCCATTACTGTGTATATATCTAATGATTATACATTGTTCTACTATAAAGATCCAAGCACACCTATTTTCATAGTGGCACTGTTTACAATAGCAAAGACCTGGAACCAACCCAAATGCCCATCGACGATAGACTGGACAAGGAAAATGTGGCACATATACACCCTGGAATACTATGCAGCCATAAAAAATGACAAGTTTGTGTCCTTTGTAGGGACATGGATGAATCTGGAAATCATCATTCTCAGCAAACTGACACAAGAACAGAAAATCAAACACCGCATGTTCTCACTCACAGGCAGTGTTGAACAATGAGAACACATGGACCCAGGGAGGGGAGCATCACACACTAGGGTCTGTTGAGGGGGGCTAGGAGAGGGACAGCAGGGGATGGAGAGGTCAGGGAGGGATAACACGGCGAGAAATACCAGTTGCAGGTGACTGGGGGATGGAGGCAGCAAACCACATTGCCATGTGTGTACCTATGCAATAATCCTGCATGATCTGCACATGTACCCCAGAACCTAAAGTACAATAAAAAAAAAAGAATTAACAATTTCACCTACAATAGCAAAAATAATAGCATTTTAGGAATAAATTAAAAAAAAAAGAAACACAGTAGTCACTAGGTGGTGGCTAAGTTCCTCGTAAACTTTACTTGTTTCAATTTCAACTGGGAGTTGTAACTTTGAATTGCAGATTCACTTTCCTAGATTTCTTACACCAATTAAAGATTTACAGCTACCCATTGGATATGTTGAGGATACCTCCACCAAACAGTAAATTTGTTTATATCAAATAATACAAGTGCAAATTAAAGTTTCATCATTCCAAATGTGTTTTATTTTTGTTAAAAAATGTCAAATATTTACCATATTATGTAAACATATTAAAATCAGAAATTATCCATGATGGTGGACTATCTCAGGAGTCAGATCTCCATATCATTTACTTTTTAGGAAAAAACATCAGAAAAAATACCAAATCCTACACATGTCATCAGCTAAAATAGGCAATAAGACACTAAAAAGTAAAAGGAAAACATAACATATGAGATATTATATAGTACACCCAAGAAAATCAACTAAAATTTAAATTATTTAGAGAGTTTTGTATAGTGGCTAGTTACAAATAAATAAACATATATATGCATATGTATTATATATATATAGTAGATTGTCAACATCTGAGAAAAATACAATTGAAAAATTACTTCATCAAAATTAATTCGTAAGTTTTTTAAGTTTCAGTATATTACAAAAAAAGTTATAAAACATTACTGAAGTCACAACAGAAAACCCAAATAAGTTCAAAATTAAGCCATGTTCTAGGATAAGAAAGTCAAATATGGTCAATATCAATATATATTTCTCCCTGAAACAATGTTTTGATTAATGCAGTTATAACCATATAGTATTCATGTTATTTGGTAAAATCACTCTAGTTAA